CCCCCCCCCCCCCCCCCCCCCCCCCCGCCCCCCCCCCCAAAACCTGGAAGTTTCCTGAACGAAATTTCTACTTTCTGTTCTTTATGATATAAAGAACCAGCCGAGAGTACGATTTCTACCAGGGTTCTATGAAGGTCTATGTAAGGTAGAAAACTTCCTGGACCCAAACCCTAAGCCCATATGACCCTCAACTCTAAACCCTGCTGGGATCCTTATACGTCCCACACTTTGCAGTTCATTGAAAGCGAGGGTTGAGGCGTGCGGATGTCAAGCGCCGTGGCCTTCCCTCTGTTGCTGGCTTTGCTTGGCTTTGCTGAAGAGCATTTCGGACGCCCAGGTAGACGGATTCAAGAAAAACAACATCACCGTAAAACCGAAACCAAACGGTAAACCTTGAACCTTAAGCCTGGGTCCAAACCCTGAACCCTGTACTTGCCCTAAACCCTAAACTTGGGCAATGCGAGGACCTTGCAGGAGCCGGCAGGCTCCGGGTGGACTACATGGGGGGGTGGGGAGTGGTTCCGCAACAAGTATTCTACAGGGGGCTCCTAAAGTTGGGTGTGCGTTCCTTAAAATGTTGGGGTATTATCCCCCCTGAATGGAGAGTCAAATGGACAAGAAATGGAAAATGAAATAGAAGCTAGGGGAAAATAGTCCGCCTTAAGTAGATAGAATATGGCTTTCTTCATAATGAAGACTGTAGTATTTGGGGTCGACATGGGGATCCCCTTATTTTGGGAGCCTACCTTATAGGGATTGTATAGAGATGAGACAGGTACAACATAAGGGACATGTAGGATTTAGGATTCCCACAACACGGGCATCACATTTTGGAAGGGAGTAAGTTGGGGTTTATGTTGAGGCCCTCTGTTCATGGAACCCCTGTTTGGGGCGACTTTCCTACGCTGTGAAGGGTTTTGGTTTGGGGTTCCAAAGCCTGGAGCGTAAATGGTAGTTTCCAGAAATAGGGGACAAAATAGACCCCAAAATGTATGGTCCTTACTATAGGGACCCCCCACAAGGTACGCCTAATCTTGGGAAACCTGCAAATCCCGCAGGGGGTGTTGCATTTGAGCGTTTGGGGTTTCGGATTCATGGCTTCGCGTTTTTGATTTGGGCTTTTGGGTCTCTGTTTTAGTAGGTCCCAATTGGGCCAGCTATGCTAGTTTGCTGGGGGAGTCTACACTCATTCGGGCTCATCTAGGCCAAGTAGGGTGTCAGCACTTTACGGCAGCTGGAAGGTTGTAGTTCACTTTAGCTTTATCAGGGTTCCTTTGAAAGACTTCGGCGTCTTGGGGTTCCGTGTTAGTTGGTGGGGAGTAGACCCCCAAACCTAACTCGCCAAACTGGATTACAGGAATCCCGAATCACAAAGTTGTAAGATTAGGCTTGCAACCCCACGCTCTGAACCCCAAGCCCCAAACGCCAAAATTCGCAAGCATTAGGGTACCTAGGGTCATGCAGGGTTTTTAGCGGCCACCCTCGAAAACCTCGATACAACCACAGTTGTCATTTAATTTTCAATATTCTTCTCCAGTTCATTTGTCATTATTGGGGGGAATAACCCCAGAGCCTAAGCCCTATTTAGTACGTGGCAGGAATGCAGTCGAGTCGCCACTCCCCACGCCCGCAGCGCACATGAGGCTGGGGTTGGAGAAAGGCATTCACATGTTTCAAGGGTTAGGGATTAGGATTACGCTTTGGTTTTTTTGCCTGAATACCTTTCACCTAGGACTCAAAATTCCTATATTCTAAACCTTACCTGCGGCCCCTGATTGGGTCCGGATTGATGTATTCCCAGAAGATCTATCAAATTAGGGCAGGGACCTTGAAAAAAGAGCTCCGGTGTTGAAATGCCCGTTCGAACTGCTTTCCTTCTATTTTAGGTTATCAAGTACATTCTACAGCAAATGCCAGAATTGCAATAGTAGCGATTACGCATGTGCATCCCTCTTACAACGGTGCCCTATGGATAGAGCCATATAGGGGCCCCCAGAAGATGATCATCTCTCGAGAAGCTGTTGAAAGCAGACCCCTCCCCATAAGCCGATACTGTCATGATCAAATCTTAAAGTCTGACCCTGTGCCATGCACTTGTCAGGATCCGAGCGGAAGATCTCTATTTCGGTCACGCATGGCTCCAGGTACGTTTATGTGTATATTACCCAGAATCATTATGGCAACTCTATACTCATGAGGCCTGCTATGGGTTTCGGGTAACACGGTAGATTAATCACACAGGGGCTTCTTTAGGACAACTCAACTGATGCGAAGTGGCTTAATCACCACGAATGTGGGAAGACATTCACCTGAAACCTTCTCAAAAGATGCAAGCCGTCGACTCAATAGACTCATTCAAGACTTGTAAGATCCCAGAATTGTTCTGAAGTTCTGTACGCCATGGTAAATTGTGTTGCCCAAGATGGGGCGCGAATGCAAAACTGCATCGAGCACATCTTCGCTGAGAAGAGGTGCGCCCTCCCTTGCCTTCCTTCAGGTGATCTGGCATGTGTATTTTAGACCATCTTTGAAGCTGCGTGCATTTTCTGTTGCCCCACAAGCTGCATGCTGCAATTCAGCAGCTCAATTGTCTCAAAGGCCTCTTCTGAGGCTGTTTCGTAGGGATAGGTAGGGTGTGTGTATGGGATGGCCGCCTGCGCGAACCCTTCGGGAATGGTTCTAGAGTGGGATGCTGATTTCGCTGTCCGAGATGCACTGCGCACTCATGGCAGGATGCTATTGGTGGAAGGCCCCAAAGGTCTGCCGCCGCTAGCTCTACCTCATGGAAATGTCATTCCCAAGACTGTGGCCAATATGCGTATCAATAAGGCTATCCTTGAGAAGGTCATGGTTCTGATGTCTTCAACACTGGACCTGAAGCTTCCTGCCATAGAGTACCTCATTGCAGCGGTCCAAGGGTTGTATGAAAGGAATAAGCTCGACATCGTGACTGGAATCTATCAAGAAGCATGGGGGATTCGTCGACTAAGCCAGTTGGCCAAGTCTCGGCTCTACAAGAAGTCTGCGCCCAAGGACACACACCCACACCCACAAACGACCCTGGAAGTTTATTAATCCTATAGGGTTTGGGGGGATAGGGGTTTGGGGGATAGGGATTTAGAAGGGTTTAGGGTTTAGGGTTTAGGGATATCATATATTAAAAAAAGCCCGGTCATTGAGTCTGCTTTTGCAGGACCCAATCCATGTGGAGCTGCTCAGTCTTCTCATGGCCTGCTCGCCGGAGGAGATGCTTTAATTGTCTATGGGCTTAACAAGGTTTTGGGTTGGAGCCGCGAATTGTATTTTTTCAAATAGCTCTCTATAAGTGTAGTCCAGTACACGGGGAAAATAAGGGAAGCAAACCAAAGCATCCGAAAACTTATAAGAATATCTGTCTCCTATAGATTTATTTGGGAACCCTGAGACCAGCTGATTTATACAGCCAATTAGCGATTGTTTTGTACACATAGCATCAGTACCCAGACTTTTGGAGATGGATCCACCTTGGGGATTGTTGGGGCAAGGGTTCGGGGAAATTATAATTATTTTGGGTCGCATCTTCTCTGCACGCGTTCGATCATTTTGTACTGCTAGTTTCCTATATATCTCAGAAATGCTCAGTACTTGTGGGTTAGTATAACGTGCAACCATGTTGGCAATGCACGTTTAGATGGAACAGGTCACGACTGCAGTATACATTCAATTCTCCATTGTCACGTTGCAGGGCCTATATTAGAATAGTAGCGGAAATCTTGCAATCAATAGTTCGCCAGAAGCCAGGGCTTGGATGAGTTGACTTGGAATTGTGCAATTGGGGCTCTCATATTAATCATCCAATCACGCTGCGCAATAGACCATGAAGTTGCTGTATTTTGTGTGTGTGGTTTTGTGTGCGTGGGCGTATATGTGTGGCTGGTTCCAGGAGCTGGTCATGACTTGGAGTGAGATTCGGGAGAAGGCCAAACAGCTTCCCGCAGATGAAGATGGAAATTCGGAATTGGATTCACGCTCCAATTCGCTTGAGTCGGAGGCCTTGTTAGGGGACACTGACCTTAAGTCAGATGAAGCGGCTCAGGCTGAAGAAGCCTTGCCTCTTGAAAGTGATGAGGGGGTGGCCCCGCCTGCAGAGGGAGCTACGGATCCCGCAGCAAGCCAAGACGAGGATGATGTCATGATCGTGGGCGTGTCTACTTCCAATAGATTCGAGGACATGACTGTTGATGAGTTGCAGGCCCGCTTTGAGGAGACAAGTTCAAGGTTGAGGCGTGCCAAGTATCTTACATGCAGACAATGATTGGGGTACATCAGGTATTATATGGGTTTCTGCAGTTAAGATCCATGCAGCAAGGAATGTGCAGCTGAAAAGCATGCTGTCCTTCAATGCGGCAGTCATGCGCCGCCAGCGTGACATGAAAGACAACATGGTGATGCCTGTGGATGATGAATCTTCAAAGTCGCCTGTCATGAAGTACGCCTTGGACACTGATGAGACGCAAGTGATGGTCATGTGCAATCCCGAGCAGGCAGCAAATCATGTTGCTGAAGGTGACCCCTCCCTTGAAGCAGCAGCTCCCACTTTGTTTCCCGAAGTTGCGGCCACATACGTCACTAGGCGTGAGCAGCTTGAACTTCGTGCGAAAAAGGCTGCAGAGGAGTCCAAGGACAGAAAGCCTAAGAAGGGCTCCAAGGACAAGAAGGCCAGAAAAGGCCGCAAAGTGGCCGCCAACAAGCGCAAAGGTGCCAGGAAAGCCTGCTCAAAAAGGGGCAAGCTTGGGAAGATGAGGTGCATTGCCAGCAAAATGCGCAATCACGATGATGATGATGGTGGTTTTGTTGAGGGGCCAGAGCCATCCTCCGGTTCCAAGTGCTCGCCCCCGCCACCCCGCAAGCGAAAGGCGTTTTCCGCAGATGCTGGTGCAAAGCCGGTTGCTGTTGCCGCTGCCAAGCCACCGGCCAAGGGCAAGGGCAAAGGCAGGGGCAAGGGAAAGGGCAGGCGTCAGGCAAGTGCGACCTCTGAACCACCTGCCCCGAAAGCCAAGCCAAGTCCCAAAACCAAAGCGGCCCCAAAGGCAAAGGCTGAGCCTTCCAAGCGCAAGAGGCCTTCCGCTGAGGAGAAGTCGTTTACTTTCCCTTCGGATCCCAACCCGGGGGGGGGTGTACTTTGAGCTCAAGAAGCCCGTGGACAATGTTGACGCTGCCAGTGAGGAGATCATCAGTATCTTGACGCAGTGTGTGGAGCGGGGCCACAGCCCCAATGGCGTGCAGCAGTTTCCATTGGAGGCGCCCGTTCGCCTGTGCCCGTACTGGAACAAGAGCCACTGTGGCCTCAAGGTGCGAGGTCGCGACGGTGGAGTGCTGAAGTGGTCCCAGCCGCATTATTTCTCAGCCAAGTCGCCTTGCATTTGCTCCAAGGTTTACTGTGCAGTCCAGATGGAGCCCAGGATTGATTAATCAATTCATGATTTTAGGTTGTCACTGGTTCATTCATTTCAGTGGCAAGATTTGTGGACAAATAAGGGACACTGTGTTTGGTGGCATACGAAGCATGGGTCTACGGATCTTGCGGCGAAGGTCCAAGAGCAGAAGGATATCATGATTCAGGCACACTCACGTGCGATGATGAGTTTCAACTGATCGAGCCTGCAAAGCAGCCTCTTGAAGTGAGCTTTCAGCTTTGATTTTGGACATGCTGGGCGCAGCCACTCACAGATCGATGTGTTTGCACGTATATCCCAATGGTGTATAGGCCCGCTTTCCCCGAAACCTGAGCCCGATTTATAGTCTCTTTGCAGAGTTTCAGCGTTTATAGGGGTTTGTAAACGGTGTATCTATATATATATATATATAGGGCTTAGAGTTTAGGGGTTTACAGGGGCAATTTATGAACGGATCGGGCTTGGTCGTTTCGCGGAAAAGATCAATAAGGCTGCCGCCGGCTGGTAGGGGGTTTGGTCCACACCAGTGTTGAGCAGTGCGCGGGTGAGCTTCATGAACATTTGTAAGGCAAGGGGGCGTGCTGCCATTAGACACTGCAGTGGGATGCGGTGCGGTATTCCAGGCCGTGTCAAATGCACAGATTGCGGTGATCCCGCACTAATTCCGTTTCAACTTGGGGAGCTGAGCGCGTTGATTGCAACGAGCGTGACAAAACTGCCCATTTCCATTCATGATTTCAAGTGGCCCTAATTGCAGCAGCTGCTGCAGTAGCAGCAGCACCAGCAGCAGCACCAGCAGCACCAGCAGCAGCAGCAGCGTATGCTTCATGATTCCTGGTTGTGCTATATGCTTTTCTGCATACCTGAGCCACCTCCATTTGATGGGACCCCTTACTATAACATGTATAGTATGGCAGCCCCCTAGATGTATAGATTTGGGATCGTTCTCCTTCCCCAAATCCTAACATAAATCCTCGAGCCCTGTATTTAAACCCTATATTAGCCCTATAAACCCTATATAACTTCTGGAAACCCCAAAAACGCTACCACACAAGTGAACGTTCTCAGTTCATTGCCAAGCTCTGCTGCGCAGGTCTGGCTGGAAAAAGGTACGAACTTCGAAAGGGTCATGTATCTCTTCAAAGCCAAGCCAGCATGATTATGGCGGGGTTCCGATTTGTGGTGATCGTCTCTTGATGAGGGTTTACATATATATATATAGATATATACATGTATAATTGTATATGGGTTTATACACCATAGGGTTTTAATATAGGTCGAGTTTATAAATATACATGTAGAGGGTTCATATAGTATTGAAATATAGGGTTTCCATAGGGTTTACAGGCATACAGGGTAATATATATATAGGGCTATATATATATATATCTAAGGTTTATATATATAGGGTATATATATATGTAATAGCCTGGGTTTATATATAGGGTTCACAGGGTTCGCAGGGTTTATCGGGCTTATATAATCTATAGGGTTTGTATAGATATATAGGGTTTGTATATAGGGTTTATAAAGGAATCCCTCCAACTCCTATAGGTCACTATACTCGTTATTGTCGCCCCCAACAATTCCTACCGGTGGGTGCAATCAATATCCTGCTTGATCCTGTAATGGCCTCCAGATCTGCGGTTGCCTGGGAACGTCTCGGCCGGCCTGTTCAAGATTTTGTTGGCCCACGCAGGGTTGAAGATTTGAAGGGATATATGCGCATACTTGAGGACTTTTAAAGGCCTCTACTTTCAAAATTCTGCTCCCGCCAACCTTGTATAGCTTCGACTCTCCATTGCTATCATGGCATACATTGATGAGCTAGTATGGCGGCTGAGTGCCCTGAAGTGCCCAAAGGCCCCTGAGCTGCACGTTGGATGCATGTATTGAATATATAAACAAAACCGTCCTTCACCAAACCGCTGGGGTTTCATTTGAGGCTTTCATCCTGTGCGTGGTTTTGGTTTTCTTCTGCGAGCTTGGCAATCTGGAACAGGACATGCTGGCTTTAATGGTGTTGCTACTGTACTTCACTGGCCCCCTGCTAGGTTCAGCCATTCTAACACCTGATCCGTTATATGCTGCAGGAGGTTATGTACCTGGAGTTCTTCTCGGGTGATGCGAACGCGTACAGAACAATCACCACATCTGGTTACCCAGGCTGTGCTGTTGATATCCGCTACATGGAGGGCATTGGGGACCTGAAATCAAATCCTTGCGACATCCTAAGTCCTTCTGGGTTTGCGTTGCGCCCTTACAAGATTGTCTTGCACACATGCCTGATGTCTAGCGAGAACACAAACAAGAAAACCTTGGGGTTTTGGGGGTGCTGAGGTTATGTATCTGGTTGCTCCTCAGGGCGAAGGAGGATGAGTTCATGACAATGTGGGGCATAGTATGCAGCTCATGGGTGCGGGTAAATGCCTACACGAGCAAGCGATGCCCCCTCAATCCCTGTGGTGATACTTCCCGAAATTATGTAGTCCGTGCCAATTGTATGGCATCACGGATCCTTAGCTGAAGAGTAGGGTACCCCTAGATTCACCCATTATATATATATATCATCCTTGTTATATGGCCCTATACACAAATCCTATGTAGCTCGATAACCCTGCCCTTCAATGCTTCTGCAACTTCCTCGTTTCGCATATATTCCTCCTGTGTTTCAAAGACAAACCCAAAGATTGCAGAATGTCTTGGTTACAATGGTGTGGTGTGGTTATAAGAATGCATACTTGGGTATAATTTAAAGTAATTGGTGAAAGAGTTACGTTGTAGAGAGCTTCTTGGGCGGCGTTCGAAC